GGTAGCAGAAACATCAGGTTTATCTGGTGAAATTTCAATAGGAGTTTCAGAATAGTTTGACCTGTTTCGGAGGATCTCCTGTCTGTGTGTTGCCTCTTTTGAGCAGCTGCGAGATACAGAGGTTGCGCCTCGCTTGCCGTCGAGAGGCCTCAACCAATTCTAGGGCTCGATGTGCAAAGTATTGAAGGAATGCCCCGGCCCGATTTCCATCCAAGGGTTCTGGAATATATACTGGAGAAACTTCATCACTGGCTTCAGAAACCATCATAAGCAGTTCAGTCGCATCATCTTCAGACCATTCTGCATAAAACTCTGGGTAATAGGTCATCACAGTTACTAAAATCTCGTCGCGAAGCAGAGGATCAAGTTTGAGCTTCTTCTTCATAGCAAACTGCAGCAGCGTCTGAATATGCTTAAGGGCCACCTCCGGAGAGTGTGTCTTGCTTCCAAGTTTGATAATGATGTTCTTTACAGGGTCTGCCATTGAAGGTTATGTGCGAAAGAGAAGAGCAGATCACTGAAGGCAGATATGCAAGAGAGATAGAAAGTTGAGAGCTGTGGTGATCGAAGATGTGTTTTTTCTTCTTGACCCGGTATCAAATAGGCTTAAGGGTGATGAACCCTAATTAATGCGGCTTGTCAAATATCATGCAGACGCGATTGATTGACACAACGGTACAACTCCTTTTTAGGAAGGAAACGGAACCCAAGGAAATTTGAAATTCGAAAAGAAATTAAGATCTTTTAAGATATCTCTGAGAAGCATAATGTTAAATAATCTTCTTAACATAAATAGAGAGGAGTCTTTAAGGAAAGTCAAATCATAACACTGACCCGTATACACCAACTCCTCTCTGACGGACCAACTGCTTTAATCAGTCAATTCTGCAAATTCCCAGAGCAGATCTGAGAATTTCAAAACGATTAGCATCCAATGGCTTAGTCAGAATGTCCGCCAGTTGTTTGTCAGTCTGAATGTATTCCAATTCAATTTCCTTGGATTCAACCAGGTCTCTGATGTAATGATGCCTGATGTCAATATGCTTCGTTCTGGAATGTTGAACAGGATTCTTGGAGATGTTAATAGCACTGACATTGTCACAGAAGAGTGTCATTGTTCCTTGAGTAAGACCATAATCCAGAAACATCTGTTTCATCCATACCAACTGAGTACAGCAACCACCTGCAGCTATGTATTCTGCCTCTGCAGTGCTTAGAGAGATTGAATTCTGTTTCTTGCTTAGCCATGATACTAAGTTTTTACCAACGAAGAAACATCCTCCAGAAGTATTTTTCCGATCATCAATATTTCCTGCCCAATCAGCATCACAGTATGCAACCAGATTCAGTTCACTGTCTTTGGAATACCAGAGTCCATACTGTATCGTTCCTTTAATGTACTTCAAAATGCGTTTTGCAGCTATCAGATGAGATTCCTTTGGATCAGATTGATACCTTGCACAGATTCCTACACTGAACATTATGTCTGGTCGACTGGCAGTTAGATACAGTAGACTGCCTATCAAGCTACGATAGACTGTGTTATCCACTGATGCACCAGTTTCATCTTTCGATACTTTTGTAGAGGTGGAGATTGGTGTTCTGGAAGATTTACATGTTTCCAGATCAAACTTTTTGACAAGATTCTTAGCATACTTCTCTTGCGAAATAAAGTATCCTTCAGAACTTTGCTTGACCTGTAGACCTAGGAAGTATGTCAGTTGACCAACCATGGACATTTCAAACTCTTCCTCCATTACTTTTACCAACTCATCAGTGTATTTCTGCAGGGTCGATCCAAACACAATGTCATCAACATAGATTTGAGCTATGGTTACATGACTTCCAGTAGTTTTTACGAACAGAGTTTTGTCAACACTTCCGCGTTTATACCCATGCTGGAGCAAATATTGTGTCAGTCGTTCATACCATGCCCGTGGGGCTTGTTTAAGACCGTAGAGAGCTTTTCGAAGCTTATAGACATAAGTAGGGTGTTCTGGATCTTCAAAACCCTTAGGTTGAGCCACATAGATATCTTCATGGAGATACCTATTCAGAAATGCTGTCTTGACATCCATCTGATATAATGTAAATCCCAAAATGCATGCAACAGCCAGCAAGATTCTGATTGACTCGAGTCTAGCTACAGGAGCAAATGTCTCGTCATAGTCAATCCCTTCAATCTGAGTATGACCTTGAGCAACTAACCGAGCTTTGTTTCTGGCTATATTCCCGGCTCATCAGTTTTATTTTTAAAGATCCACTTCGTTCTAATTACGTTGACACCATCAGGTCTTGGTACAAGATTCCAGACATGATTCCGCTCAAACTGATGTAGTTCCTCCTGCATTGCCTTGATCCACAGATCATCCTGTAAGGCTTCTTTGACATTTCTGGGTTCTATCTTTGAGGTATAGCAAGCAGACCCAGATATTTCTGTCAGATTATTTGTTATTCTGCTTCTGGTCTTCATCCCATATGATGGATCTCCAATAATGTTATCTGATGGATGGTTTTCTGAGTTCTGGTGGGCTTGTCTTTACCAACATCATTCATGAGATCTATCTCCTGTTCTGAACTTTCTTTATCTTCATCTGATGAATCTTGTGGTTTGAGTTGACTGTTGTTATTACTTGCATCTGGATCACTTAGAGAAGACTCTATCACTGTTGAGTCTACTGATTCTTCTGGGTTGTCATCGATAACCACGTTCACTGACTCCATCACAGACTGAGTCCTCTTGTTGTAGACTCTGTAGGCACGACTGTTCGGAGAGTAGCCAAGGAAAATACTCTCATCACTCTTGGGTTCGAACTTCCCTCTTTGTTCTCTATCAGCTAGCACATAACACTTTGTTCCAAACACATGAAAATATTTCAGATTTGGCTTCTTTCCCTTCAGATCTCATAAGGAGTTTTCGTTGTTCCTGGTCTAAGATAGGCCCCATTTATAGTATGACACGCTGTGTGAACTGCTTCAGCCCAGAAGCGTTGTGGCAGATGTGAGGCATGTAGCATGACTCTAGCCATTTCCTGTAAAGTTCGATTCTTTCTTTCCACTACTCCATTCTGTTGAGCAGTTCTAGGAGCTGAGAACTCATGTGATATACCATGCTCGGAGTAGAAGTCTGAATATAGTGAGTTCTCAAATTCCTTTCCATGATCACTCCTCAATCTCTAAACTTTTATAATGGACTCATCCTTTTCCTTCTGAACTCTTATGCACAGAGTCTTAAAGGCCTTGAAGGCTTCTGTTTTTTCTCTCAGAAAGTATACCCAGCTGTATCGAGAGAAGTCGTCCACACACACAAATATATATTTCTTTCCCCAATACTTTCACTTTGTGTTGGCCCCATGAGGTCTATATGGACAAGGTCTAGACATTTCTCAGTGGTGATACCTCTTACTGCTTTGTGTGGAGTTCTGATTTGTTTCCCAATTGCACATGCCGCCATAGATTTTTTCTGGATCAATTCTGATCTTAGGTACACCTTTTACTGCTTCCAGTTTTATCAGCTTATCATATCTCTGAAGTTTATGTGACCCAGTCGTCTATGCCAGAGTTTTGATTCATCAGACTTGGATAGATGACAAGCAGTTTCATTTGTCAAAACATAACAATTGTATGAGGACCGAGTTCCTTCCATGACAAGTTGATTTTCTTTGTCACTAACTCTGCAGCAGTTACGATCGAAGCACACATTCCAATTTTGATCACACAACTGACTGATGCCTAATTAGATTCGCTTTTAACCCACTGACTAGCAGGACTTCTTCTAATTGAGGTAAGCCTGGTACATTTTGGATACCTTTTCCCACGATTTTACCTTTTTGTCCATCTCCATATGTTACAGCACCACTGCTGGATTGAACAGCCATCAGACACTTAATATTTCCAGTCATATGTCTGGAACATCCACTGTCGAAATACCATCTAGCATCAGTTGTAGATGCAGTCAGAACAATGGTTGGGTAGCAGATGACTTCTGACTTTCTGACCCAAACCTGTCTAGTGAATGGTGTAATAGTCTTATTCTGATATTTTTCCTTCCTTTGATCTCTGTAGAAAAAATAACACTCAGGTCGAGTATGACATTTTGTTTGACAGTAGTGACAAATGGGAGTGTAATATTTAACTTTGACAATCTTATTTTTGAACCTCGAATAATGAGATTGATGAGTTGATCTGGCCAGGTTAGTATCAGTATTCTGATCGTACCTCCTTCCCTTGTTTTGCACTGACTGAGATGACTGTCCTTGTTCATACCTGTGATCAGCAGTGGTCTTAGACATTCCCTCTTTGATGAACTTTGGTGCGTTATTCGAAGACTCTCCTTGTTCAAATCCCAGACCCTTTTTATCATTAGGATTTCTGCCAGAGTCTAGAATTTTATCTAAGGTAGATGTGGTGTCCATCATCTGGATATTTTTCTTCAAGCTCTCTAATTCCTTTATTAGTTTTCCTTCTCTAGACCGTATCTGAGTGATGAGATCTTCTTTTATGACCAGTTCTGCATTCAATTTCTTTAGAAGATCATCTCTTTGCTTCAGCTCGTCATTCAGATTCTTATTCACTTTCACAAGTTGTTCCCAGCTAGCAACAAGTTTTGCAAATTCTGTCTCAAGTTGAGTATGTCTCTCTTCAAAATCATCAGTTGATATGTATGATTCTCCATCAGATTGATCTCCGTCTGACTGAAGGTCTGTAGCAGTAAAGAAAGCTACAAAGTTTCCTAAATTATCATCTGATTGATCATTTGAAGTTTCCTCCTCATCATCACTAAGAGTAGCTACAGACATAGCCTTTTTCCTTTTAAGATATGTTGCACATTCAGCCTCTATGTGACCGTATCCTTCACATTCCCTACATTGCACTGACCGATTAAGGGGTTTTCCTGTGTCTGTGGAACTGTTTCTGTTTTGTCTTGATCGCCCAGTCTGAGATTGATTGTTTTGTGAGAAATGTGCTGTTTCTACCTTTTGATATGAGGAGTTGTTGCCTTTGTATTGTGTCCTGGTAGGCTGACCTTGACCCTTTCTGTTGAAACTTTTAAAATTTTCTTGAAGTTTTTGGTTAGAAGAGCTAAGGTTTCATCATCTATGTCGTCTGTGTCAGATTCTCGATCAGCCTCAGCCACAAAGGCTACCGACTTTTGTTTCCTGTTGCTTCCAATATCATCATCAGCAAGAACTTCCAGTTCGTATGTGTGTAAGCTTCTCATGAGTTCCCCGACAGTCTTCTTTTCCCAACCTGTGTGTTCCTGAATAGCAGTTACTTTCATTCGAAAGCGTTTAGGTAAAGATCTAAGAATCTTTTTGACCACTCTCTCATCAGTGAATGGTTCCCCAAGAATTGAGGCTCGATTCATCAAGTTCTGAACCCTACTGTGGAAGGTTGAAATGGTTTCGTCTTCAATCATTCTGAGTGCTTCGAATTCTGACAGAACCATTTGCAGCTTTGACTATTTGACATCACTGGTTCCTTCAAATCTGGTTTCAAGAATTTCCCATACCCGTTTAGCCTCTTTTACTCCTGTAACAAGCGTAAAAACAGATTCATGCAGTGATCCTACAATTGAGTTCAATGCTTTGTTGTTCAGATCAGAGGCATTCATTTCATCTTCTGTCCAAGTCTCCATGGGTTTTTCTTCAGCAACTCCTTGCGCATTCTGAGTAGTAGGCCGACTCCACCCAGTTAGGATGGTGCGATAAACCCTGGTACCTTGTGCTTGAAGATATATCTCCATTCGAGCTTTCCAGAAAGAGTAGTTGTGACCATCTAGTTCTGACGGTTTCATACTTGCGTCCATCCTGAATACAACAACCAGGCAACGAACACACAGAGAGACTTGCACAAAAACAGAGAGAATGCAAAACTAAAACAGCCCTTCGGATCAAGTCACTATGTAGACTTAAAAGCTCTGATACCACATGTAATTTTGCAATTCCTCATTTTAAGTAAATTGACTGAATTAGATGACTGATGTAGATTACTGATTGATTCAGATAAGAGGCCAATCAGTAATGATAGATCACGAAGAGAGAATAAAAGAAAGATAACTGCACAAATGCCAAAGACACAGAATGTTTACCCAGTTCGATACGGTGTGTATCTACGTCTGGGAGACGATCACATAGGCGTCCAATCCACTAAATCATAAACCAATGTACAAAGGTAGATATACAATAATCTTACCCAAGTGCCCCACACAAGGTTCAAACCCAGTCTACACAGGTCTAGTGGATTGTTGAAGATGGAGAGCCATGCATACAGAAGTCCAATGAAATCCCTTCACTTGGAGAGCCCACTCTGATGCAGTCCACTTCAATGACGCTCTATAAAGTTGTTCCCACAATAGTGTGATCACAGTGTCCTTTCGTTTAAGTAGTAGTAACTCTTCTCAAGTTCATCATCTTAATCACCGTGAACATATTGTATTGAGAAGATGCATGACAATCAAAGATTTAATCTCATATAGCAGATATGGAGTGTTTCTTCTTACTTTCGGCGTAACCCTAATTCTCTTCGAATAAGGGTACTTATAGATCTTTCAATAACCACTCTCCATAGATGTCTTTGATTGTAGCAGGTAGGACTATAAAAGAGGAATGTAATCTCAGAAGATTAGGTCCATACCTTTCTTAAGAATATACGCTGATCATCTTTCCATATGAGTCTGATAATACCGCGTACGCCTTTTAAGAAACCAGCTTCCTAAAACAGATCTTCAGTGTCAGTCCTTCTGTTGTTGCTTCTGATTGATCAGTTATCTGTAGAGATAAACGGATAGACTCTAAACCAATCTTAGTATGCCATAATGATATTGCCAATTATAATATGGGGTTTTTTGAACATTTAAAAACACTAACACATCAATAACCGCACAAGGCATAGAAGTCAAACTGGAAAGGTTTCAAAGTAAATCCCAAGATTCCATACGTCGCCCCCTCAGGAAACTCATAAAAACCAATAAACTACCACCAAGCACTTGCTACATCCAGACGTACATGAGTCAGACCAATATGATTATTAGAGTAACCGAGGAACTCCACCTCCACTCCCTCTCTCCATAACATAGTCAAACTAGCACTACGACCAACGCATTCCACCGTCAAGCACCCCTAATAACCCAGTATATTCTTCACCGACACTACTTTTCCTTAACCTACCTGCCTAGCTCTCGGGACATAACTTTGGTAAACAAATTCAAAATAAGTTGAGAGATTTTATTTTGCTAACAGTCACAAGGTGCAAATTAGACATTAATATACAAGTATATGAAGGCCAATAAACCATTTAAAACATATCCCACACATTATCGTATTCATCAATATTTAAGGCAAGAGCATTAAAGAATCATCAAATTTTAGGTTCAAACATATTACAATCACCCTAATTACGTTAAATTCTTAATTATTCGATCTTTAAAATTTTAATCGCCTCATAATGTTGTGAGGATAAATATAGCTGACTTTCTACTTTTCTTATTATGAATAAACATGTAAAATGGTCCCATCAATCAACATACACCAATTATGGACTCATATTTCTTTGTCTCTAATTTAATATAACAAATTCGAACCATTATAACAGTATATCATGACCAATTATGCCCATAATTATGTATTCTTCAAAGTTAGTTGTATATTATACTGAAAATATAAAATTATTTGTTTTTATGGAACAAAATTGTTTTAGAATTCTTTATTATTTGGATTTTTAGGTAAAGATGGGGCATTCTGAGAATTGAACTCTAAACCTCTCACACCCTAAGCGAGAATCATACCACTAGACCAAATACCCATCATATCATTCTCATAATATAGAATGTTTGGGTTAGTGGGATTGACTAGTTGATAACATTAGCCAATTGTATAAAGGTGTTTAGTAATTTAGCTATTAGTTGATAGTCGATTACATGCAAAATGACTTTGTGAAAAACCATATTGAAAAAGCTACATTAAGCAACTTTTTGATTTTTAGCGTTTTGGAAGAATAACCTGTTACAAAAAAACTAATTAATCAAACACTTATATTGGCTGTTTAACTAAGTCAAACAACTACTAGTCATCAAACAAGTTTAAATTGGAAGATAAGCTAACTTTGTTACCAAATAGTACCAATGTAAGCTAACTTGCACTCCCTAACTGTCTCTTGGAACACATGCAACATCCAATGAGGATTTGCAACAATATCACTTTTCTCACACTCTTTTAACAAGTCATTAAAGTCCTTCAATAACCGCACAAGGCATAGAAGTCAAACTGGAAAGGTAGCGAAATAAATCCCAATATTCCATACGTCGCCCCCTCAGGAAACCCATAAAAACCAATAAACTGCCACCAAGCACTTGCTACATCCAGACGTACATGAGTACCAATATGATTATTAGAGTAACCCAGGAGCTCCACCTCTATCACTCTCTCCATAACATAGTCAAACTAGCACTACGACCAACGCATTCCACCGTCAAGCATCCCTAATAACCCAGGATATTCTTCACCGACACTACTTTTCCTTAACCTACCTGCCTAGCTCTCGGGACAAAACTTTGGTTAACAAATTCAAAATAAGTTGAGTCATTTTATTTTTCTAACATTCACAAGGTGCAAATTAGACATTAATATACAAGTATATGAAGGCCAGTAAACCATTTAAAACATATCCCACACATTATAGTATTCATCAATATTTAAGGCAAGAGCATTAAAGAATCATCAAATTTTAGGTTCAAACTTATTTCAATCACCCTAATTACGTTAAATTCATAATTATTCGATCATTAAAATTTTAATCGCCTCATAATGTTGTGAGGATAAATATAGCTGAATTTCTACTTTTCTTATTATGAATAAACATGTAAAATGGTCCCATCAATCAACATACACCAATTATTATTTTTTGAATTTAGAGAGTATATAATTATTACGCAATCTTGGCGAAGTTGTTACTTTTATGGTTTATGGAGTATGGACTCATATTTCTTTGTCTCTAATTTAATATAACAAATTAGAACCATTATAACAGTATATCATGACCATAATTATGTATTCTTCAAAGTTAGTTGTATATTATACTGAAAATATAAAATTATTTGTTTTTATGGAACAAAATTGTTTTAGAATTCCTTATTATTTGGATTTTTTAGGTAAAGATGGGGCATTCTGAGAATTGAACTCTGGACCTCTCACACCCTAAGCGAGAATCATACCACTAGACCAAATACCCTTCATATCATTCTCATAATATAAAATGTTTGGGTTAGCGGGATTGACTAGTTGATAACATTAGCCGATCGTATAAAGGTGTTTAGTAATTTAGCTATTAGTTGATAGTCGATTACATGCAAAATGACTTTGTGAAAAACCATATTGAAAAAGCTACATTAAGCAACTTTTTGATTTTTAGCGTTTTGGAAGAATAACCTGTTACAAAAAAACTAATTAATCAAACACTTATATTGGCTGTTTAACTAAGTCAAACAGCTACTAGTAGTCAAAAAAGCTTAAATTGGCAGATAAGCTAACTTCGAAACCAAACAGTACCAATGTAAGCTAACTTGCACTCTCTAAATGTCTCTTGGAACACATGCAACATCCAATGAGGATGCACAACTCTATCCCTTTTCTCACACTCTTTTAACAAGTCAATAAAGTCCTTCAATAACCGCACAAGGCATAGAAGTCAAACTTGAAAGGTAGCGAAGTAAATCCCAAGATTCCATACGTCGCCCCCTCAGGAAACCCATAAAAACCAATAAACTGCCACCAAGCACTTGCTACATCCAGACGTACATGAGTACCAATATGATTATTAGAGTAACCCAGGAACTCCACTTCCATCACTCTCTCCATAACGTAGTCAAACTAGCACTACGACCAACGCATTCCACCGTCAAGCATCCCTAATAACCCAGGATATTCTTCACCGACACTACTTTTCCTTAACCTACCTGCCTAGCTCTCGGGATATATCTTTGGTTAACAAATTCAAAATAAGTTGAGAGATATTATTTTTCTAACAGTCACAAGGTGCAAATTAGACATTAATATACAAGTATATGAAGGCCAGTAAACCATTTAAAACATATCCCACACATTATCTTATTCATCAATATTTATGGCAAGAGCATTAAAGAATCATCAAATTTTAGGTTCAAACTTATTACAATCACCCTAATTACGTTGAATTCTTAATTATTCCGTCTTTAAAATTATAATCACCTCATAATGTTATGAGGATAAATATAGCTGACTTTTTACTCTTCTTATTATGAATAAACATGTAAAATGTTCCCATCAATCAACATACACCAATTATTATTTTTTGAATTTAGAGAGTATATACTTATTACGCAATCTTGGCGAAGTTGTAACTTTTATGGTTTTTGGAGTATGGACTCATATTTCTTTGTCTCTAATTTAATATAACAAATTAGAACCATTATAACAGTATATCATGACCAATTATGCCCATAATTATGTATTCTTCAAAGTTAGTTGTACATTATACTAAAAATATAAAATTATTTGTTTTTATGGAACAAAATTATTTTACAATTCTTTATTATTTGGATTTTTAGGTGAAGATGGGGCATTCCGAGAATAAAAATCGGGACCTCTTGCATCCTAAGCGAGAATCATACCACTAGACCAAATACCCTTCTTATAATTTTGATAATTTAAAATATTTGGGTTAGCGGGTTTGACTAGTTGATAACATTAGCCGATCGTATAAAGGTGTTTATTAATTTAGCTATTAGCTGATAGTCGATTACATGCAAA